TTGTTATTGTTATTATTATTTTTATTTTATTTTATTGTTATTATTTTATTGTTATTTGCTTTTTCTCAGTTGGCCTATATTATTTGTCTGTAAAGCGCATAGGGGCAATGTGCAATATGCGCTATATAAATATAACATTATTATTAAAAATTAGTACTGCCACGCAATAGGGGGTGCCCAGTTAAAGTTTAATTAGAGTTTGCTCAAAACTCATCTTTTAAGGACACACACCTTTGTAGCGGTACTTTTCAACATAAGATTACGTTCTACCGAAACCATGAGAGTCGGACCTCTTACAGTTCTATACTCTTTACGTCTGTGCATATATATTTTCTGCCAATATCCCAGATGATTTACATATGAATAGTAAATTCATTGGTAAGCTTATGCATTGTCTGTACAATTTCAGAACACAGGAATTCAAGTTAGTAGAAGATACAAACATTTTGATTGGTTATATGAAAGACTTGTTGAAAAATTCATCACAATTTGTGTACCAGCCCTTCCAGATAAGCAAGTCACAGGTGAGTTGCCAGTTTATGATGATCTGGTAATGCAATGATGAAAAAGTAATGAAATGAGGGCTAAAATAAAATAATGAACAATTGATTCAATGGTGAACATGTGATGAAATGATCAGCAGATGATGGAAGGATGACAGATTACAAAGTGATCACTTGGTGATGAAATGACCGCTCTTTACACTATCTATCTTCAGCAAGTGATGAAATCACCAGGCTCAAAGACAGTCAAAATATATACAGCTGCTCTCTACATTATCTTCCTTGGCTTTTGGCTTCTACATCTTTCTCATTCTTGAATGACAAAACAATTGATTATTATTGCTTCTAGGACGATATGAGGAAACCTTTATAGAGAAGCGAATGGAGCAACTTCAGCGATGGATGTCAAGAATGACCAATCACCCTGTTATATCTCGCAGTGAAGTGTTCCAACATTTTGTCACGTGTACAGATGAGAAAGTAAGGTTTTTTTTTGTACAGTAGAACCTTATATTAATGACAGATATAATGTTTGGACCAACAAATGTGTCCCCTAGTATCCCCTTAGTAAGGTGTCCTTGACACATTCAAAAAACTTGAATATGATGGCTTAAGCCTGGTTCTCATGAGAGCCCTAGTATCCGGATCGGGAGCTAACCATTAGTGCTAACCTTTAGCACCTGTGTGAGAACGCCCGATCGGTTATCCGGATACCGCTAACGGTTAGCAAGCGCTATCGGTTAGCAAGTGAGCACGTTTCTATCATCAACCAATCACACATACACATTTACAATTTCCAGTTTCTTATTGGCCAGTGATTCGATCATTATATTCTTGGTATCTGGATCGGGATTTTCTTGTATGGACGCCTGGCAGCTAACGATTATCAGGATCTGGATCCTGCTAACAGCTAGCTACCGTGTGAGGACATAGCCGTAGACTCTTCTTTCTTTTGGTTTGACTTAATAACGAGTAAGAGAAAATGAATAATCCTTGCCGAGCCACAAAGCTCATAGGTCTTGGAGGTTATCACCAGTTTCAGGTAGCGTGAAAAAGTTGAGAATGAGATAATCCCCTCTGGGTGGGAACTAGTCCACCGCAGGTTACTCCCAGCAATTTACTGGTGGCCATTGATACAGCTGGGTAGACAGAAGCAATGTAGATAAAGTGCCTTGCTCAAGGACACAAGTGAAATGTGCATCAAAAGATTGAAACCCTGACTTCAAGGTTTGTGAACCCAAACCATTTTGCATAATTTCTGTTTCAGTTGTGGAAGGTTGGCAAGAGGAAAGCAGAGAAGGGGGACTTTGCAGGAGCAGCATTTTTCAGTTTGGTGCAAACACCCCAAAACCCCCTTGACCTAGCAGTTGTGTGAGTACATTCATCATGGTCATCACCATCACTATCGTCATTATCATCATCATCATCATCATCATCATTACCGCCATTATCTTCATCATAATCTTCATCTTCATCATTATCCTTATCATCAACATCTTTATTATCATTCTCAGTATCATCACCTTCATCATCATCCTGAGCTTCATCTTTAGTATTGTCATCATTATTACCATCATTATCAGCATCATCATTAACAACATCATAATAATCATTCTCATTTCTTTGATTTCAAAATCTTTAATGGATATTTAGCTTGTAAACTGCATTCCATTAATTGGTTTTGCTCTTAAGAATTATTAAGCTTCAAATATTTTCCCGCTGTAGGTAACCACTATCTAGTTTGTTGTCTACCAGAATAATTAGTAATGGAAAAATAAAAATGCTAGCATCACCTCATGTTTAATTGCTTGTACTCTCATGACTGTCAGAGGCATGCTTTACCACAAGTAAATTACAAATTAATTTAAATGCGTTCCATTTGTTTATATTTTTTCACAGAGAACAACATCATGATAATTTCCACAAATTCGTAAAAAGTATGGACGAAAGCCTAAAGCAGGTGACGTTATGCGTCCATGAACACTCCAAGAAACACATAGGACGTGAGTCAACATTAGTATTCTGATTTTAGTCTGTGACAACGTTAGTCCAGTCAAAAATCACCTTAACCATTGTATAAGATCCCACCTCAACAAAACTCAAACCGTAGGTCCTTTATATATTGGAAAGATCATATCTTTATGTTGCGTCATACAAAAAGTGGGATTTAAGGAAAAAAAGCAACTTTTGTAACCAAATTTTAGCTGCTTGTCACCGTTGATTGTTACCTTGAGAAATAATGTCACGAGGCTAAAATAACGATAGACCATTTGCGTCTCTACAAAACTTAGCTAAATGATATGTTCGCTAATGATTACCAGTTTCACAATGCATTTTGATACAGTATAAATACGTAAATATGATGATATATTTTAAATCATGCAAATCTCAGAAAAATCAAAAGAAAAACTATAAACAAGTGTGAGTTTAATAAATAATAAACATGACCTTCCATATAAAATAAACTACACCCTCGATTGGATCATTATATTTTTAACAAGCAAATTGAAGGTCTCAAGCGACTTGGTATAACAGTTTGTAAATGGGGTATAAAAATAAGTTTGTACGGTATAACGTCCGGTACTGACTAACGTAATTTATCGCACATGGACCTAGCATTTAGGCTACACATTCCATTTTATTTACAATCTAGATTGAAATCAGCGAAACTTATAAAAAGTTTGTATAGTCAAACTACCATTTTCCAATCCCTGATTTCCATTTGGCTTGAAGTGTTGGTGGCTATATTTTTGTGTTTTTTTTTTCCCCAATTATTTGATTCCATGAAGGTTTCACAATGATATCAAAACATTGCATCAAAAACTGTTTAGGCACGTTACACTTTTTTTTTGTAAAGACGTTTTTTTCTGGAACCTCGCTCAATCGTCGGTGGTCTCTTTATTTACTTAGGCAAGTAAATCCGGGCTGACCCAACTGTACTTGGCTGGCGAATCCAAAGCTTGCAGACGACATGATGCCTCGTCTGCCGGTAGTAGTTGTGGTCATCTACGACACTCTGCGCCGATGATGATGCGGTTCCATGGAAAATGACTTGTATGATTAAAAATATATTGTCATATTTACGTATTTACACTGTATCAAAATGGATTGTGATACTGGTAATTATTAGCAGATGTATCATTTAACTAATAGGTTTTGTAGAGACGCAAATGGTGTATCGTTATTTTAGCCTCATGACGTCACTTCTCGAGGTAAACAATCAATCGACGGTGACAACCGGCTAAAATCTGGTTATAAAATTTGCTTTTTTCTCTTGAATCCCACGACGCAACATCAAGATGTTATCTTTCCAATATATAAAGAACCTACAGTTTGAGTGTTGTTGAGGTAGGAGCTTATACCATGGTTAAGATGATTTTTGACTGGACTATGTTCCATGGTAGGGGACTTCTGTAGTATTGCAGTTGGCACAACATACAACATATGAGGTTCGGGCTCCAACCCTGTAAGTTGGGGGTTTGAGTGCTCACCATGAAAATCACTTGCGGTCTTTTGGAGTGGTCTTGGGTTGGGTCTCCACTTAGAGGTTAGCTTTGTGTTAAAAGATTGACAATTGTTATTTGGTTCTTTGAAAAATTGGTCTCGAATTAAAGGGCTCTCGGAATTTGAGGGGTCTCCAGTTGGAGGGTTCACTGTATTATATTGCAACATGATTTGTGATGATTCCCAGGGAGCTGAGAAAATTGCAGTTTGTGCTGGTTTGCTGTTTATGAAAAAATTAAAGATGAATACAAAATAAATTTTTGCAAGAAAAGTAAACAAATTAAATATTTTTTTTTTGCAAGAAAAGTAAATAAATTAAAATATTTTAATTAAATAAAATAACCAAAATGATATAATGTTTTCTCTGTAACTTCATAGCCTTCAAGCGTGAATATAATAAACTGGGAGCATCATTTTCATCACTAGCCGCATCTTTTGAACTCGACAATGGCCTTCGTAAGTACCGCCAAATATTCACTTTATTTGTTTTTAAACTTAAACCATGAAAAGCTTTTGATAATATAAGCAGCCAGCAAGGGTTCAAGGGGAAGCAGGACTCCCATTGGGGAACCTTTCCCCTCCATGTTTACTTGCCTACTTGGGTTGTTTATTAAAATAGATCTTGGAGGGCCTTGATGGAAAGCAGTACCATCACTGATCTGGGTTACCTCCTTAAAAAAGACTAAAGGCCTGTCCAGACTATCAAATGTTATTTGACAAAAAGTTGACATGCCTAAATATGGTCATGATGACATCACATCATGACCATATATAGGCACATCATGACTAAATATGGGCATACAACAGTGTTTTGATAGTGTAGACAGAGCATAATGATTTTTAAAAATCCATCAAATTGCTTATAGTTTACTGTGATTGCTAACAGTTATCTCGTTAAAATTCATGAATATTGATTATTTTTTCCAAGAACTTCTTTATATTTAACCTTGTACAGTATTTAGATTATTGTTATGGGTTTTTCTTAGGCTAACTTATGTAAATTTGTGTCTTATCCAGGTATTAAATTATACAAATACATTTGATATCTTGAGCTTTGAATAATTTGAATGCAATCTAGCTCTATTAATTTCATAAAAGTTGATAACACAACTTGATAATATTTACACTAATAATCCTTGCTTTTATAACAGGGTGAATAATTTTTAATGATTTAGTAGAAAAATGTCTTCTTGACTCTTTTTTTCTATCTACTTGTTTAAGATCCTGATGTATCAAAGGAAGGTATGCAATAATATCACTCAAAATCTACCATTCATCTATTATTAATTAATCTTAAAAATGTTAATCATTTTTCATTTATGCTACGGTTATTAATCCAATCGGTACTCTTGTTAACTTAAGTTCCCAACAGCGGGACTATCTTTTTATTTGCTGATTTTTTTATGTTGTTAGGCTGTTTTTCTGTCTGTGATAAGCTAAAACATTTTACAAAAATTAAATTCAATATTGAATTGCTTACTTTGTATAAGTATGTAAGTTTTTAGCTTTTGATTAAACAAGTATTTCTTCTGTAACAACAGATAACAATGCCAGCACTTTTGTATTCTTTGCGAAGGCCTATAACTTGGCTAGTGGTCAATTTGAGGATGTGCGTAGTAAAAATTGTCTTGACTGTTATTAGAATCTATTAGATACTCTTTCAACTTTTAAAAATGAGCAATTCAGTATTGATTTGAATTTTTGTTTTTCTAGGTTTTATCACCACATTATGGTATATCTTAATTTAATGTTAATTAAGGTTCTTACTCATGCTCATTAACATAATTAAATCTAGTCTATGGATCGTACAAATAATTTTTTTTGTTTCTTATATCTGTTATTAATAAATGTATTAATAAATATAATACTTTTGATGGAAGGAAAAGCTTCCATGAAAGAGTACCAAAACTATTCATCTGAATTTGTCTTATGACACTGTCACCATCATCAGCAAAAGCATTTCAATTGCCATCATCAATGCCATCATTATCATTATCATTATCATCATTATCATTATCATCACTATCATTATCATCATTATCATTATCATCATTATCATCATTATCATTATCGTCATTATCATCATTATCATCATTATTATTATCATCATTATCATTATCATCATTATCGTTTGTAAAATCAATGTTGATAAATAAGCAAGGCGAGTAAATATTGGCGTTCCACAAATGTGTATTCATAAATGAACCTGCACAGTGTGGTTTAGTGGGACCTTACTAACAATATTAAGACTCTTAAGGCTTAGCAGAAATTTCCTTTATCTATCAATTAGAGTTTATCAGCTAATGTATTTATGTAATATACTAACTCTATTTTATAAAACTAAATCTATAGATAGAATACCTGTGTAACTTAACCATTTAGCATGTAAAGTAAAAAGCCTTTAAGAACTTTCTTTTGATAATTCTCTTTAATTTCTTTTCTTTCTCTACCTTTCTCTTCTTTTTTTTTCTAAACTTGTGTTTGTTTCATCTCAATCCTAATTCTTACTTTATCTGTTAAACTGGGCACACACTACGCCAAGTTCGTCGGCTGACCCAAACGCATCATGACGAGGTACGCAACGGATAGTTTTCAATCACTATCTGCTTAGTTTGACATTGACAATCAACAGGCGCTGTCACGTCCTCAAGTATTCACATAGAGCAAACATAAATTTGTCGACCGATGCTTATATGACACAGCTTGTGGACAACTTATATTACTTGTCTTAACTGTCCTGGTTCCTATTTTATCTGCTCTGGTTCTTATATTATCTGTTCTTGTTTCTTATCTTTGTCTGTTCACTTCTAAAAGATGCATGTTTATATCAGGGAGATATAAAAATAATTTGTTTACCTCCCTGTTTATATCAACTTTCTAACAAATAATGGAAAGAGAAAACAAAAATTATTTGAAATATGTAAGTTTATTAATGTCATTTTGTTTCTTTCAGTTGTCTTATATTTTAATATAAACTACATTTAAATAGCATTGAAATACATTGCACATGTAAAAAGAGGTGTAGAAGTCTAAAATCTGTAAAATATGTTTGTAACAAAAGATGCTAATGTAATTACATATTGGAAGTTTGAATCTTCAGGTTTAAGAGTGTACTTTTTGGATATGCAAACCTCTTCCCCAGCTCAGGCAGATCAAGTACGGGTCCCCATTGGTCATGGCATACCAGACCCAAAAATGGATAATAAATGTTTTTTTATTATTATAATTTTTTTAATTATACATTCAAAAATATTAGAGAAAGCCTCAAAACAGCCCAAAATTTTTGTGCTAGGAATCAAGAGCTTCCCTTTGGATTTCTACCTGTGAACTTTTTTAGTCTCTGCTTGTCACCAGAATTGTCCTGACACCCCCCCCCCTCTTTTGGACAGCATAGCCCCTGAATTTCTGTATCTACTGTCACTTAACAAGTGAATGCTGATTAACTGTGTAACTCTTTCCTATGGTACAGAATCACAGAGACTAACTTCAGCCTTGAACCATACTGGAAAGACCTATAGTGAAATTGGCAATCTGTACTCAGAACAACCAAAACAAGATTTGTATCCTCTTGAAGACAGCATGAGGGAATATACCGGCATGCTAGCTTGCTTTCCTGATATGATCAGTTTCCATAAGGTGAATATGTTGATTAAATTGATTGTTATTCTTACTAGTTGTGTTTAAATCAAATGCAGTAGGAATGGCATCACCACTACAATAAGAACATCCTAATCATAAGGCTACTCCTCAAGTGTCTCCAAGTCTCCTGCAGGTAGTGGTAGTCTCCCAGAGGTCTGCACATTCCCCCGCATTCACTAGCAAGCAACCCCTCTGCAAATTAACCCATCACCAGTAAATTCAGAGTTTTCAATTCTACTATTTTGTCTCCCATTATATTAGCAGGCCTGCATATCATCACATGCAGCAAAATACAATTTTAACACTCTGCCCGCCAAACACGGTGATCTCTGAGCTTGGCGGACAAACATAGCGATCTCTGTGTTTCAGGTTTTTTTACACGGAATCCGATGGTGGGGTAATTACCGACAAGTACTAACAATTTGAACACTATATTCAGTCTGGACCGTAAATATTATATGTTTGTTTACATAGAGCATAGCGGTATTGGTGTACTTTCATAAAATCGCGATTATCTCAGCTTCGTTTTGTAAAATTGCGTAAATCTCCTAAAGCGAGTCATTTTCATTTTACTGCTACCGGTCACAGATTGTGACTGAAGCTGTAAGATTGTAAAGCTAAGATGTTTGAAGTTCTGATAGCATGCGCACTCAATGAGCTTTGGAAAAGTGTTAAAATTCGCTAAAATGTCTGGCGGTGGCTGATACTATTTTTTCAAACCCCTAGCGGTCAGAGTGTTAAACATGTTAAAGAAGTTCAATGAGCCAGATCTTGCAAAAGTGTTTTCTCCTTATTTGGAACCCCTATCACCTACTCTGTTACTTAATATCATATAATCCCTCCAATTATTTTTGATCGTATCCATTTTATAAATGCTTTCATAATTAGTTTACATTTTTATTTGACATAATTATATTGTAATATTAAAATGTTTGACTTTTTAAAACAATTTGCAGCACACCCTGGCAACCGAACGAGAATGTCAAAAGTCACAAGAGGATGGAAAAATTGATGGTCTTGAAGCAGAGCAGGTGCGAAGGCGAGCAGATGTTATATCATATTCTATGATGGGTAAGTATCTGGTTAAATCTAGGTTCCGTAGAAAAAAAAAATTTATATGTTGTAAAACTGATTTAAAACTGGGGGGGAAAGTTGGAAAAAGGGTGGTTATGTCCCATTTTTTAAATATTAAAAAATCTGTATCTCATTAACCATTCCCAAACTTTTCGTCAAACACCCTTTTTTGTCTTAGAAAAGTCAGTTGTACAATATACAATATATTTAAAAAAAGAAATATTTATGAAAATTATTGAAATGTCAAGACATTCAAATCTACTGTATGTGTTACAAAGTAGGAACTTTAAATATTCAATAAAAAATGTAAATAAACCTCAGAATGAATGAGTTACATTAGGTTGTTATTGGGCATTTTTTTGCCCATGTGTATATGACTACAGTATCTAAATGTTAATGTGTCATGCCATACACATTTATGCTTGTTTTTATGTACATCTCTCCAATATGTAAATTGGATTTTCTAGGGTCTATTTCGTGAATACAGTACTTACCTGGATGACCTGATATTAAGCCAGAGCCTCCGAATTTGGGGCTTGCCGCCTCTGACTAAGCCGTTTCTTTGCACCCCGGCGTTAGAGACTTGAAACACATTTGATAGTTTTAGTTTCTAAAGAGCTGTTAAACGATATCTATAAATTTTCATTTCTTACCAAATGATAATAAATTTTAATTTCTTTTCAGCCGAAATGAACCATTTCCATCAAGAAAGAGTAAAGGACTACAAAGAAATGATGCAGCGGTACCTACAGGAACAGATCAAATTTTATGAAACAATTACCAATAAACTCCAAGAGAACCTAGCAATGTACGGAGACATTAATACCTAACTGGTTGCCAGGTTATTCCCAGATTTGTACATGTACATGGAATACAGATACTGATGATTTTGAACACTTCTATCTACTAAATCATGACGTTTGTAATTTCTAGGAGAGATGCATTTACGCTCAGAAGATTAAGAATAGAATACCACCAAACCGAACTGCAAGAATACGCAGAGTTAACACACTCAGAAACTCACTAGCCCTAGTAATAAGCTGTTAGCCTACAGTAGGTTAAGGATGAAACAAAAACACCAAAAACATGTGTTATTCCTTAATTTACTACACACACAATGCACACAGGGCAGTTGAATGTGTGGCTACAATAGTGATTATCGAGAAAGTTATGTCTCTTAATTTTTGTTAGCTAAGGAAAAATCAATAAGAACATAATTGAATTCTACGTGTCACCTATGATGCACTGTGGTTAACAAAGTGTGAAGAAATTATGCAATCAGGGTATCTTGTATTCCCTATGAAAAAAATAGGCCTTGAGTAATTTTAATCAAAAGAGGAAGCCTGCTTGTCAAATTAACAGTTACCCATGCCAGACTTAAATTGTATTAACATACATACAAATGTCTTTAGAGGGACTGCAAATTTGCATAATTTTATACATGCTTTGTACCAAAAACTAAACTATATGGGGCAGTTTTCAAACATTCAGGATTTTCAATGTTACTAAAGTATTCATAAGATATGCTAGGTAATACCTATTATATGACTGCAGTATTCACCTTACATCAGTTAGTAAAATTAGGCTTTATATATTAGTTTTAATAGTTGCACTGATATTTTTTTTTTATTTGATCATAAATTATGCCAATCACAGAATTGAAACAACTTTTTAAAGAGCTGATATTCTTAGTATATATTTATAGGAATTTATCAATTTTTGAAATGTTTGGACATCTGAATTTGAATTCCTTGAAAGCCAAGATAACTTCCTCTATAAAACTATAAATATTTTCGATTTCATTTTTTAAATCAAAGTAGAAGAAAAAAAAAGAAAGTTGTATTTCTGGAAAGATTTAATCAGATAAATTTCTGAAAGACCGTTGGTCATGTAAATAAAGAATGATTCTGTACAGAAATGCATTTTACAATATGTTTTGTATATACATTTTGGAAGCTGTTGTCAAAGTAATATATTGTATAAGAATATCCAAATTTTGCCTTTGACTATTACTGTATCTCTAGTATACAACATGCCAATACTATATTTGATATTATTATTAACAATATTGTTATTACTGGATTATTAATATTGGGATTATTATTAATATTATTATTGTTTATTAGATAATTAATATATATTTATTCTTTTTATTATTAATTTTGTTATTAATTCTGTATTATTATTTAGTATTTTAATTTCACAAAGATTAAAAGTACTGAAAAGCCATGTTCACTTATAGTGCTGAAATAGATTATTCTATATAACATATTATGACAGACTATATTACCTCAGAAGAATTTGCATTTGTTATAGGAATACAGATCTGTCTCTAATAAAAACCAACAAATTAAAACTACCTAAAAATAAAGACCACTTTTATGTGGCCCCTGAATTAACAAATATCTTTTACCTTTAATAATCAAAGCCCATTAGAAACCCTAGTCTGAAAAGTGTTCATTAATTGGAGGAATACCTGTTTTATGAGACATCGTAATATATAAGCTTGGTTCACATCGGTTATTGTCGACATAAGTAGATAAACTATTGAACAGTGCTACACTCCTAATTGCGTTCGATGGTCCGATTATGTCGAGATACCTTGCTGGACCAACTACGCTCACGAGAGCGGCGGTTGTGATCCCGGTGTGACCAAGATCACGCATTCGTACAGCCATTTGCTCATGAATGGTAGCTTTTTGTCTGTACATTTTATCTTCCACCTTTTCACATACGTTCTTTCCAAATGTCAATAAGATAGAATTCTTCTTCATAAGTCCAACAATGTCGCTTTTGGCGTACTTTCTCGGTCATAATTGATATAAAGATCTAAGCTAGGCCTACACTGAAAAACCTTCTCTCTCGAACGATCAAAATAAACAAACAAGCAAGCTTGCTAAGGGTCAACCGGCTTCGTTGTGATTGGTGTATTCGTGACCTGAGGCCACCCGTGGTGCGTTATCAACTCGACGATGACTGGATTTACAAGTTAGTCGAGCTAACAGTCATCGTCGAGTTATGAACTTTATCTCGCCGTAATTGACCGTTCACGTCGAAACTATTGTCGACATCAAGTAGATAATCTAGTCGACATAGTTCGATGTGAACGAGGCTATAGTGTACCCACGTGTATTTGTATAAGAGATCACACGCCACAATGCTATTCTCTTTGAAAGGTGCCGGATGCATGCTGATGGCTCTGTATAAAATAATAGGCATGTTACCAAGTTATTGACGTTTTTTCAGTAACCCATCTAGGGTGAAGAGTTAGGGGAATATTTTGATGAGAACATTTTCAAATTTTTTTTTTCTACAGTATAATTAAAATTGGTTCTGAAGCTTTTTGTCTCCTTAAATAATACAGGTACACTAAATTATATTGTTATTGATATTCATGGTTATCATCATCATCATCGTCGTCGTCATCATTATCATCAGCACCATCACCATCAGCTTGCTACTGAATAAGGTGAAATTTTTAGGAGTGTCCCAATAGTTATAGGATACCGTGGGTATTGATATTACCGTAATATATGTATGTATACTGTGTTTTGCTATTACAGTAGTCAAAACACTCTACAATTGCAATTAGTCCTTTTTAATTTTAATCCACTGTGTCGTATTATTATTAGTATTAATTTATTGTTAATATTATTTATATAAGAATCATTTTTTTTATTTGACAATTGTTCTAATATATGTTGTATTATTATTTGATGTTTCAGATTATGGTTACTGCCTTATATATCTATATTATGAAAAAGTGTCAAAACCAATCTAATGCTAATCTAAAGCTAATGGCACAATGGTAAGGCATTTGCTATTCAGGTTCAATTCATAAACTGGTCACTTTGTGTCATTGGACGAAGGAAATTTATCTTTATTTATCTCCATTATCAGCCATTAATATACATGTTTTTTATTATGGGATGTGATTATTGTGGATTATTATTGAATGTATTGGCCTGGGCTGAGTGTACTGTTACATGGCAAAGAATATACTATGTAGAGGTGCAGGAGTGTACTTGTTTATGTATTCCAGTTTCCAATGACCAATGATGATAAAACTTGGTATTACAGCAAACATAGTACAATTATTGACTGGAAAATCAAATATATCAAAGCAGAACATTATTACTATTACCGTATTATTATTATTATTATTATTATTATTATTATTATTATTATTATTATTATTATTATTATTATTATTATTATTATCATCAATATTATTATCATCAATATTATTATTATTATTATTATTATTATTATTATTATTATTATTATTATTATTATTATTATTATTATTATTATTTATCTTTCTTGACAAAATGTTTTGAAAGTTCAAAAAAGCCTACCAGAAACAAGTTCTTCAGACATAGGTTACTTTCCAAGTACCAATCTATTTTATCGTACTATGAATATTCATATGCAGATGTTATTGTCATTATATAATTTCAATACCATAGAAGATGCTACCAAAGGTTGTAGTTACTATTGCGATCCCCCGCCACAAAATGAGTCATGCTGCATCTCCCGTCAAATTGAGATGAGAAACAAAATGTGTTGGCACCTGAATTTTTTTTTGCTGAGCGTTTGTTCAGTACAGTAGTTCCTTTGCTATATTATATGTATTGAGATTTTAAATAATTATAAGTACTATACCCTTGCCTGTTTTATCTTTATATATAAGGTATGCCTATACAATGTCCTGTGCTGTTTACCAAGAAAGTGCTAAGGTACTTTAATAATTAAAACAATAATACACACTGTTGTATAAATATTTGAAGTGATAACAAGTTAATGTTCCAGTAAAAACATTAAAATAATACTAACAGTACAACAATTTTAATGATAACAATAAATTAATAATGGTGACAGTTGATGCATATTGTGGTCTCTGATACAACAGCAGGGCTAATTTTGTTGCGGGTGGTCACATTTTGTCTGTAGAGTCGTACTTTTTCTTTTACTTTAATTATTGAATATTAATATTGTATAAAATGTCATGGTAATGTCCGAAATAATGAAGGATTTTGGTACTTGTGTATTAGTAAGAAACATAAAGAAATCAAAGATAATTTTATTGTCCACACTATGATATTCAAATAAACTAATCACCTGATTATATGATTATTTCAGTGTATAACTGTCTTGTCATTTCAACTGTTTTGTCTTAATTAGTTGTTTGTTTTAACTGTAATTCTTTGTTTCATTATCTTTTTAATAATCTAAGTAATTAAGATACAGAACTGATATGTTCAAAATGGTTTTAACAGGTAACAAAGAGGCAACACTTTCAGATTGACATTAAAGATGTAGTTTATTCACCATGAGGCTGGCAGTTGGTGCGTGCTCAGTTAATATGTGGTTCATCAGTATGTAAACTACAAAATCAAAATTAAGATGAATAGAAAACAATGTATGCATGGTTTTATCTGTAATCGTTTTAATTGTTTTGATAAATTGTCTATGATTTTTTACATTACAAAAAGTACCTAATATATAGGCCTAATCAAAATATTTAAAACAATATCAATCAAAATAATGTTTTGACTTGATTGTTCTTGGTGGCGCCCTTTTGTTTGTCAAGAGACAAAGATTTTCACCAGACTGAATTGCTATGAATATTAATATTCATGAGTGATGGTGATATTTATGATGACGTAGCATGTCTTTTCCAATAATTACAGGATTTTCGGCAAGGGGAAACTGTTATATACTCTTTGGGAAAAGCCTTTCTGAATGTCATTTTACTTATGGTAATGGTAATTTATGTCAAGAAACGGTCATTCCTTTAAACCTCGCGTAAATATTTGCAGCGCCATTGCATCTTATGAATATTAATATCCATAGCAATCCAGACTGGTGTAAAAAGTTTCTACCACAACCGCGACGACGCGAGTACAAAGCACGGCGGATGAGGAACTTTTGTTGTTGATGGACGGACATGCGAATTGGTTTAATCATCACCCACTTGTTTTGTGTTGCTGAGGTGACAGTGTCACATTTTTGTAAATTAGCTCTGAGATATTTTTAAAATATAGCATTAGTTTCTGCATTCTTTACTAGATGAAGTGCGAATTGTGCAAAGCAGAAGTAGGTAATGAATTAGAACTTCAGCAGCATTATTTAGATGAATGTCCTGGCATGACCTCAAATCCAGGCCGCCTAACCAGAGAGCATGGACTGGAAGAGCTGGACATGGCCCTGCAGACTGGTTCAAGAGGTGCCTCAGAAACTATGGTAGATTCAGGGGATTTTACTCAGTACAGTAGTGGTCGCAGCCTTGCAATTGGGGGAGAATACAAGGAGAAAGGTAATGCGTAGTGAAGAATGGTGAATTATATTATTATTAAACATTTTAGACGTTCTATTGCAGTTAAAAAAGGCTAGGCCCGGAAGGCCTAGACTAGGCCTATTTAGCTTCATTTAGCCTCCTAGGCCTACTACCATTACTAGGCCTAGGGCATGACGATGGTGTGCTGGCTCCCTCGGTGAACTGAATTGTATTAAAGGCAAGACTGTAGATCAGTGTGGGGTTAAAAAAGGCCAATGATTGAGGCTCCATTGAGGCCTAATCCTTTCCCACTACTAGTTAGTATCATCAAATTCCAAAAAGTGAGTTAAGCAGTCTACTGGACTGCCTAGTAGCTATGCTTAAGCTCGGTTTCCATAGAATCGCTCACCCTATCAGTGACATTCGCCAACAGTTGTTGGGAATGTTGAACCTGGTACACTTTTGCTGATTGCATTGCAGAGGAATCTGGGTGTCTTTCCAATTGCGTCAGGGTAGCTAGCAATGCACCCTGATTCGTCTGCAACATCGGCAAGGTTGAACCAGGTTCAACCTTCCCGACAACTGCCGGCGACTGTTGCCGATAGGGTGAGTGGTTCTATGCAAACAGAGCTTTAGGTAGGTCTTAGCAGGTAGAGTCTGAAAAATGCTAAACTTTATGTCACTAACCATAATGAATTCGATCCAACTCGGCCACAAGTCAACTCGGCCACAGTCAACTCGGCCACAAGTCAACTCGGCCACAAGTCAACTCGGCCACAAGTTAACTCGGCCACAAGTCAACTCGGCCACAAAAAGTGTTGACTTGTGGCCGAGTTGACTTGTGGCCGAGTAGAACGTAGCCAATTTTTTTGTGGCCGAGTTGACTTGTGGCCGAGTTGACTTGTGGCCGAGTAGAACGTAGCCAATTTTTTTGTGGCCGAGTTGACTTGTGGCCGAGTTGACTTGTGGCCGAGTAGAACGTAGCCAATTTTTTTGTGGCCGAGTTGACTTGTGGCCCGAAATTTTTGTGGCCGAGTTGATTTGTGGCCGAGTTGACTTGTGGCCGAGTTGACTTGTGGCCGAGTTGACTTGTGGCCGAGTTGACTGTGGCCGAGTTGACTTGTGGCCGAGTTGACCTGCACCCACCATAATAATAGGTAAAATAGATGCAAGAAGTGTATGTAATTAAATCAGATACTTAGTAGGCCTGTGTATTTTTGCAAAATTGGACTTGTTATACAAAGCCCAATAGGGACACTGTTGTACAAAGCAGCAGCCCTGCGCATTTTGTTGTCGCCGTGATGGATTTTAAAATTTAAAAAAAAAATTGGGAAAAAAAAGAAAATTATACTCAAATTTTGAATCTAAGCGTGCCGTTTCCAACCACCTAGAGGTGCCATATTAAATCATAAATTTTCTTACCTCAGCTCCAACAATGGTGGGGCTGAGGTAGTATAAACCCTCCATCTGTGAAAGTCCCTCTCTGCACCCCCTCTATTTTAAATTCCTAGGTCCACCACTGTGTCATGTGAGTTAAATGCATACAGCGTAGAATATTAAACATGATTAATATTCTCATGATGACCTAAGATTTTCCCTGACCGTAAATCTTGTCAGGCTACTTTGTAAGACACTATCCCATGCTGTAACATGTTCATATACAATGCTTTATCCCTAAACATGCTTTGAAATGCGTACATAAATTATTCATTTTATCAAATATTTTAACATCAAGGATAGATTGTGTCAAAAGTTAAAACATGAAAAATAAAAAATGTTTGTGCTGGAACCCTTTGCAAGACATATGTATTGAATCTACACAAGTCAAAGTTTAAATAATACATCATCAATCAAGAAGAACTTTCAAAATAATAGGCAGATTGAGTACAAAAGGCTTAGAAAACCTGGTTGTAAAGGCACGGTATCATTACCCAAAACACGTTCTCAATGTAATATGATCCTATTTAGAAAATTGTACATTTGCATTACGTTGTTTTGTACTTGTTACTTAAAAAATTGACCCCCTTGGAAGGATTGTCATAGAATAAGCATTTAACATAAGTACTGTAGTGCACAGCCAGATATAGTTTATCGGGATATATTGTTGATACCTCCAATTGCCACATGAAAAATTGAAAAAGATATATCTTCATCACTGTCATCGCTCTTATTATATTTAAAATTATAATATAAAATTATTGAAAAATAAATAATAATAATAAGTAAATAATAATAATGATTAAAATTATTTATATTTATAATTTCTGTTGCAGTCTTGTTACTGTTGTAACTTACAAAAACATAATTAAAATAAGCTTAACCAACATACTTTCTTTCTTTAAGTTTAATTAGATTTCATATCTTTACTTTCAATACAATTTACTTTTTAACTATTTCCTCCATGATTAAATATTAATTTATTTTCAAGTGTCTCTACTCTTGTTTATAGAATCTGATGGAATGGCAAATATTGTTTTCCGTTGGTATAAGACCATCCCAGTGAGCAGCGATGAAATACACCTGCTAACGTCATATGGAAAGGTAAAGATGTAGAACAAATAATAATATTTTTCTAAATTAATATAATATTAGTTATTTTCATCCGAAAATATTTTATAACATACACTCATTTTATCTTGAAAAAAATTAAAGTTTAATATTGCAATGTTTATTACGGTTCTTAAAAAAAAATTTTTAATTACTTTTATTAAATTTGAATTTTGCAACATTTATTACAGTTCTTAAAAAAAAAACCGATTTTAATTACTTTTATTAAATTATTAAATTTGAATCAATGTTTATTACGGTATGATTGTGCATTGATGGACAGCAAATGTTTTTTAAATATGTTTATCATAATTAGGATTCTGACTAGAAATTGCAAATTGCAAATGAAGTGCTGCGAAGTACAACTGCATATAAATGTTAAGTACAACTGCATATAAATGTTCTTCGAACAAAATTATTTATGCGAGTCAAGTGAAAATAATGAATAATAAAACTATAACAAATAATATGAGACACGACCCATTGTCTATATTAGAAC